GGCGGAGCTGGGAGCGGGGCTGCGCATCTTCCGCGATGTGAGTAAGCGGCGTCCTTGACGTGGACCCCCTCCTCCAGCAAAGGCAGCAATTGCAGGAGTGTGAAGGGGTAGGGGGGTGGATGGGGTTCCTTTTTCTTGTTTTGCCTTTTTTCCTTGTCTTTTTCTCTCCCCCCCCCCTTTATATTTTTTGTCTTTTTTCTTCTTTTATTTCTTTTTTTTTTTTTCTGGAGCCATGATTTCCTCCTTGGGGTGGAAGGGGCTGAAGCCCAGTTGGGCTGTGGGTCTTTTGTCTTTCCTTTTCCTTTTCCCTTCCCCTTTCCTTTTTTTTTTTTAATGTTTTTAACATTTAAAATGTTAATGAGGGGAATGAGTTTGCTTCTGATGGCGTGCATGTGTGAGGAGAGCAGGTTAGTTAGCAATTGGGGGTGGTTAGGAGAGGCACTGGGTGAAAACACTGTCACTTTTCAAAATACATTGCTTGGATTTTTTTTTTTTTCTTCCCCTGTGCTTTTCACTGAAAAGCATCTCACGCTGCAAAAGTTCTTTCCCAAACTGTGCAGGCTCCCTCCCATCCCATTAGATCTTGATGGATATCAGGTGCCCAGGGTTGATGTGCAGAACGACCCTGAGTCGCTCAGCCCTTTGAGGAGGAGCCCAGCAAGGTGCCTTCCTGCTCACCTGGCCATCCTGCCCCTCAGGGGTGCTGTGCTAGAACACCATTGAGGGCTCAGCATCTCACAAGATGCAGCTGTAAAGTTTTTTATCTAAACTTGCCCAGCACAGAGCCTTTCTTGGTCCAAGGTGAGTCCTGGATAACAGGCAAACTCCCACCCAAAGATCTCCGAAGTATCCTCTGTCCTTGATGAGAGCTACAAATCTTCAGACCAACTCTACTACCAACTCTGATCTACTTCAGACCAATGCTTATACCAGGGTTAGTCCACGATATCAGCTGGAAATGGCATGTTCTGTATTAAAGATTGTCTTAAGGACTCTCTATCTAGATATTTTCTCTAATGTGCCCACATAAACTTCCCCAACATTTTCCTCAAATTATTTCAAGCAGCCCTTAATGAAAGCCACATCTCATCTCCTGATTGCTCTAGACTCCATAAGAAATCATTTAAATTAGACTCTTTGTTGACTTTTATTAGTTCCACTCAAGTGTATAATGAAAAATGTAGCTTTTTGGTCTTATAAATACCTCTTGTAAGAGAAACAAGAGAATTACAGGCACATATCGCAAAGACAGAAGAGAAACCCAAGCTGCCAGGAAAGAGTTAAAAAACATTAAATGGAACCAACTCCCCAGTTTAACTCAGCACACTGGGTTAGGAAACTGCAGATGGTCAGAATACCTGATAAACTGAAAACTTTTCATTTCACCCAAAGTAAAAAATTTCATTCAAATCAAAATTATTTGTTTAATTTTCAGCAATTTCTTAAACCAGTGTCAGGTTCATATTTCTAGAAAAGCAGGTGCCATTCACAAAAGTGGTGAGGAGGAGGGCGGGGGACTGCTGCTGTACTTCTGCTCTTACATCTGGAGGAAAACCTTAAATTGAAACCTAGTCTCTGCCTGCTTCAAAGCAGGGACTGGACGCTGGGGGCCCTTCCTCCTGTGAGGGTACACTCATATCACAGATATTTGGGGGTGTGCAGCTCTCTGATAACCCCTCAGTGAAGTGCCTCCACCTGTATAAACACTTTACTGCATATTAGACCAGGCAGCAAGAGACAGGCTGTAAGGCTGCACAGAAAGGGCGCTCAGGTCCTGGTCCCACTGCGAGCTGGGCAGAGATCTAATGAGAGTGAGACCTGATTTCTAATGCAACCTCCTCCCTGCTTTTGTGTCAAAGTCCCTATCAAGCGTCCAAAGGATTTTAACATTTCCATAAGGGTTTTTTTAATTCATTGAAATCAACTAATCTGAAATTTAAATAATAAATAAAAAATAATTCATTGAAATTAATTTAAAAATAAAAAACATAAATTACTTATGCAGAAACTTTTGCCACCTTTGACCCATATTTACGGGGCACTTCTGGTAGATTGAAACTCCACTGCTACAGCTGTCCCAGTCCTATACATCCATAAGCACAGCCTGAGCAGCCAGCGCTCTTGCTCGCATAGAGGTCTTGCACAAGGTGTGGGCTGCATCACCTGGTGTGTCTGTAACACCCGTGTGGCTCTGTATGGGCCCTTGCTACTCGTGGCACAAGTCACTGGTCTTCTGTTAATATTGCTTGGGTCCGTGCTGGGCATATTTATCACCTCGCTGAAGCACACCTTGCTCTTTCCCATCAGACATGCTCGCGCACGTGCCTACAGCGGGCAGCTCAGCCCAGGCACCTGCAAGGCGAGGAGCGGGATTTCAGCACTAGCCCCTTTGATATGCATCTGCTTGGGGGCATCCACTGTTCCCTTTTATCCGGTATAACTGGGCAGAAGAAAGCCATTAGTTCTCAGAGCATCGTGTTTCTCCACCCTCCCAAATTTCACACATCTCTCCACTTCCAGCTGAAAATCTGCAAAACCTTTCAGCCTGCTGGCTTTGCCATCTCTGTTAACATACAGTTGCTAACTCCAGAGCAGCACCAAGTCCTACAGGCAGCACGGTGGTGGGTACCTTGACAAGCAGGCTGACTTTTCCTTCAGGTGACACAGAAAGGAAACCAGGCTGCTTGCCAGTGAGATAGGAGAAATACCAACAATGGGTCCCTGAAAAATCCAGCCAAACCTGCCAGGAATCTAGGACTGTATTTTACCTGTTAAGGATTGTAGAAAGAGGTTTTATTTTATTCTAATAATGCTTTCAATGATCTTTCCTTTGCTCTGTATTTGGTCTTTTAGTTCTCATTAGGAGAAAATTTCCAGTTTAAGAGTAAAAATTTCAAACCCCTAAGCAGTCTAATCCTCATACTGAAAATTGAGTTGCAATATATGATTTTTTTGGATATATAGGGAGGGAAGATGTCATCTTACTAAGTTCATTTCATACTTTATGTGCTGTAAACTTGGTCCAATGCAAAGTTCAGCTTAGAGACTATAAGTGAAGTCCTGGATGTGGGTCACAATTTTGTTAGTTCCCCGCCAACCCCACCTGACTGAGTACAGTCATGAAGATGCTCCGACAGAGCTTGGCAGCTGGATCCTTGGGTTTCTCATTTGGTTTCACCTCTAGGAGCAGAGCAGTTATGGCACGTGCTGGAGAAGCTCTTTAGATACTGCTAGCAGTTTATCAAACCGGAGAACATTTCCTTTGCTGTCAACTCTCAAAAATATATGTGCCCATTTTGAAACTCTTTCCTTTACTGATATTCACAGCAGCAATAGAAACTATATTTGGAAGATTTGCTTTCTTCCCTTGTCTAAACTTGTTATAGCGTTGCCCGGATAACTCCCCATTGCGGCTCAGTCTGAAGTAGCGAAGGGGACTACATCCAGAAACGTAACAGGGTCACAGTGCATGGCAATTGCACATATCTGAAGTGTCACATGATGACCCATGCCACAGCAAAAACACCTCATCCAGAGAGCAGGGAGCAAAGAAACTGGAGGAGACCCCTCTCTGTCACTTCCACTCCCTATCCCCAATCGCTTCTCCAAAGCGTGAACTAATGTGGTGGTACCTGCGATGGGACTCCAGCAGGGTCAGGCGGGCACAGCAGCATGTCACCGGCAGTAAGACAGGGCCGGTGCACCTGCATACAGCCTAGGATGGGTTGGTGCTGTATGCCCCCGCCGATGGCAGGGCTGGGCCTGGAAGGCTCTGCCACCTCTCCTCACGGGATGCACCCCTCAGGATCATCTTCTCAGACTTTGCACGAGATGTTACAGGCTCTTGCCTGTGTATTTAAATAGCTTCTCCAGCATGTGCCAGTTACAGTGGGGAGAAAAGGCAGACCTGCAGACTGCGTGGGTAAGCTGGGGTCACATACGGTTTTTGTGGCAGAAGTACTGCAGCAAAGGATCTACAGCAGGCACCCCCGCGCTGCCCTTGCCTTCCCAGCTTATAAACCTCTACGCTTTCTCTCTCCCCTTTCTTCTGTTTCTGGTTTGCACTCGTTATCAGAGCAATCCTCAAATTTGCTCCCACACATCTGATCTCGCTGCCTCCCACACCCAGTCTGATTCCTTCATGCCACCCAGCTCCTCTCCTGACTTAGCCCTTTGCTTCCTCCACCCACACAAACCCTGAGTCTTTCTCACCATCTCAGATGCTCAGCACATACTCCCAGCTATCATCTTTTCTCTGCTTCTTTAAACCACTTCTCTCAACCCCAAATCCAGTATCATGGTAGCCATACGGTATCAGGTTTTGTGCCTGAACATCATCCTTATAAGTTATGCACAGACTAGAAAATAAAGCTGGTTCTTATTATGGTCTTGGTTTCCTGTGCACACAAGCACCAGAGGAGTTAAAGAAAGCAATACTCTGAGGGAAGGATGGAGACACACTAAGGGCTTTTCAATTTTATGCAGCCTTGTGAAAATATGATGTAGAGCTCAAACTATAAATGCCCACTAAATGCAGCATTGTGTGCTATTAACCCATACAAAAAAAAGTGATTCTGTTCTCTCTCTCTTTTTGTGTAGATATTAAGAAGAGCAGACAAGAATGGTAAGACTGGTCATGCATCTTCCCCCTCCCTTTGGAAAAAAAAATCCATCATTGATTCAGCATTTTAAGTCATGCTTTAAACATCCTAACAGGAGAATGAGCCATCCCTCATGTCGTTTTATGTTTTATACAGGCTCCATACAATGTATTTTGTTGTGCACTGATCCTCCATACGGGTTCTTTAAGGGCAGATCTTGTGCTTTCACAATTTGGCATGTGTTTTTGATTTGCTCTTTGGGCACACGTGTTTTCTTAGTGACGTTGTGTTCACAAGAAGGTTTGAAATACTTGTTAGTAGCTCCATCTTATTACTTTTTAAAAACACCATAGGCTGTATCTAGCAATCAGACTTGTTTCCTACATTTTGCAGTTATGTATTTGTTCAGCGTGTCAGTAGGCAGAATAAAGTCTTCAATTCAATTCACATATTTATAACACAAAAGTCATGAGTTTTTTATTATGTTCTTAATCAGAAGTTTTGCCCTCGTGCTACTGATTGATTTTCCTTCCATGCATATTTTTTCCCTTATTTAAATTCAGTAAGTTGGAGCATGTTACTGTAAGGCTTCACAAATGCTCCTGTTTTGGCAAAGGTCCTTGCTGTAAGGACCACAAGTATAACCACTGGAATTTTTTGCTGGTATACATAGTCATGGTCTTGAACCTGACTTTAACTCCTTTTCCCATCTCAGAATTGCTGCACAATTTTGGACAAGTTACATTGTCGTTTTTGTGCCACATATCCCAGCAGAGAAATGAAGCCTCCACTACTTCCCTGCATCACACAGAGTGTGAGACTCGGTATGTTTGAGGCTATGAAGAGCTTCTGTAGCTCTGCAGTTACCATAACAGTATTTATACTTAACTCAGATAACCAGTTAGATCTAGCAGGGCGAGAAGGAAATACAAGCTTGCAATTATTTAGCACTGTAATACCAAAGTACGGGAAGAAGGGAGATGCGACTTCTTGCAGAAGCACGGGCCAGACTTCAGTCTTTTCCTGAAAGCACTGAAGAGTGTCAAACCCACAGCTCAGACAGGTTTAACCCTGACAAGTAATTCCCACTCAATCCTCAGAAAACAGGTATTGTACAGGTTCAATAAAGTGTACTCTCAGGTATTTAAAGGCATAATGGATACTATTGGGAAAATCGGAGAGAATCACCTTCAAGGAAGAACTGTTGGACAGTAAGGGGCTACCGTACGGTTTGAAGGTATAGCTGAGCCTGTCAGATAACCATTTATTGTTGCTGAGAGGGCAATCCCACCCCCACAGCCCACCTCTGGCTGCATATTCCTGCCCCAGCTCGTGTGCAGCAACTGGCACTTCCCATTAAACCAAGGCAGGCTCCTTCACAGAGCTCAGGGACCACAAAACCCATCAATGTGAGGGTTTTTTGTTAGTGGGGTTTTTTTTATCTCCCTCGGTCAGCTTGTCAGTGGCTTGGAAGGGCAGTGATGGTGCAGGCTGAATCCCAAGGTGAGGGCTGGAAGGGGGAGAAGGACCTTTCCCTTCAGCCGTGCTTTTCCAGCTTAGCTATGTGCCAACCACAGCCAAGCTTTGCTGGCATCCCCCGCAGACCTCCTCGCAGTGTTTGGAATAGATGTTTATGTGTCTACCCTGAAGACTGATGAGAGTCAGAGCGCACGGTGCAGAGGAACAGTCATCATCCCCCTGGAATCAAAAAGAGCCCCTGCAGCTTCATGTCCCTGCCCTGGACTTTGAGCTCACACTCTGTCCCAGCCCTGGTGGATCCACAGCACTTCGGTGGTCAGGAAGACTTCCAGTCCTCAGTAGAGCTACCCCACAGTTTATTATTGATACTTGCTATTAAAATAGGGGAAACAGCTCACATGAGCAGTGACAGACTTGCTTGTTCCAGAACAATATGAAGCCACGTCGGCCCTAGAGACTTTGGTCATTGGAGTTCATACCTATATATGGATCCTTTACAACATATTATTGGGAGAAAAGTGGTTAAGTTCAGCCACTTTAGTTCTATTAAAGTCCATGAGCTTGAAATGGTTTCAGCTCTTACGTGCTTAGTTGTGTTTGCTCAACCATCAATTGTCCGTGGGACTTCCACTTTGCTAATCTAGCACTGCTCGGGCTCATGCCACATTAATAAGGAGGAGATTTGTTTTAAGGCTGGGATGTTAAGTACCTTCTCAGAAAGTGAACACTCATCTAACATGCTTACACTGTTGTCAACACAGATTATTATCTTTTGTTAATGACTAATGACACTTTCAGTGTCACTTTTCTGTCCTGTGGGAAACCAAGTATTGGCTTACAGTAACAAATACTACGTTACTGTCCATGACACGCTCCTGTTAACCCATACACTTTTAATAGGACTTTCTTTACACTTTATTACACTTTAATAGTGCTTTCTCAGAGCTGCCATATTAATTCTCTGTGAGATTAAAATACCCAAAAAAAGTTTATCATCAAAAACCTTACTAGATACTTGCTTGACAGCAAGAAAAAAATACATCCAAAAAGTAGATCAAGCTGATAAATAGGAGTGTTATAGGAGAGAGCATTCTTACTATGAATTTAGGGACTGTGGGACTTCAGGTTAGCCTTCCATGACAAGGAAGGAGAACTACTCTTGCAAAGACAATATAAAATAAGAGAACAAAAGAGCCAAGAAATCCTGCTGAATTGCTGTTACTCAAAAATACTACAATGATTTATGACAGCTGGGTTTAGTTGAGAAACTCCTTTATCAAACAGTCATTCCCCTATTTGAAAGAAGCCATACAAATGTTGTTTCTTTTGGGGTGGTGGCTTCTTTCTTTGCCAGCCCAGGTACATACATCATTCTGTTACCCTCCTGTTTCTGGAAATATCAGCTATGCACAGCTTCCACGAGAGGATCAGCTTCATAAACTCTATAGTTCTTATTTCATAGCTGAGCAGCTCCACTCTGTATGGAGCACATCCATGCTACTCCCATAACTGAAAAGGTCATGTGATTTTCTTAGAGGGAGAACAAGGCATAGGGAAGGAATATCACGTTTCTAAGAAATATATGATTCATTATATTGACAAAAGCAACAGAAAACCCTGAGGGAAAAAAAGCAATTTCATAAAGATGAGATGTTGCACACTGACCTTTTTGGAAAGGAGAAGTTTCAGGTTTGCATGTCAAAATGAAGTTTTGGTCAAGTTTACTTGGCAAAACTCCATACATTCAAAGGAAAGCTAATTTGGAAAAATTCCAGCTAAAAGGGAAGTTCTTCATTTGTTTCATTCCTTTTGCTATTTAAAAAAAAATCAAATTCATTAAATTCCTCTCAAAAAGTAAAATCTTGTCCCTAGCCAGCAGGGACAAGAAATACGGAAAACTGGAACAGCCAAATGCAGTCTGTCCTAATCAAGATAATTTTTACCTCCCTCATCTCACAGGCAACAGCAGTTGCCCCACACACATGTGACTGCAGCACCTATATATGCTTATCCTCCTGCTTGGCTGCATGAGGTGTTTCTCATCTTCTGATATGCTAAGAAGGACGTGGGGCACCCCATTAGCCTTGCAGTGATTTGCAATCAAGTGAAACGATATCAGTTGTTGGTAAAGGTCACCCTGGGGCCTCTCCTGATCGTGCAGCTTTGACATGTGCCCTATTAGTATAGCCTCATGCTATAATTCCCTCCTGTTAGCACAGGAATGGAAATTCAAATATAGACTATGTTGCAGAAATCCAATCACAAACAGTCTGACTGTCAAAATGGAAAAGAAAAAAGTAATAATCTACTGAGAATGCAACTCTCAATCTTGCACGAGTAAGTCTTCTTTCAGCTGAGGGAAGGTGCTTCAACACTGATGGTTCAACACTGACCATAGTCAGGGAGTACCACAAAATAACTAGAGAGCAGTGCCCTGCCTTTGCCTGCATCATGGTGGGGGTCATTTCTCTTCCCGTCTTCCTGTGGGAGAAGAGGGCTGCTCTTCCATTTCTACTTTATCATCTCCAGCTTTTTCTTGAGGGGAGCCTGGCTGCTTCAGGTCTATTCTCTCATGAAGGTGAAAACTAATGAGACTGAGCCCAGTGGCATGCTTGCCTGGCTGTGGGCTGCTGAGCATATGTGTCAGCACAATAACCGCCCTTTAAGGCAGGAGCTTCCTCTTCTGCTCTGGGAATATGGCATGCCCTGGCATTTAAAACTCCCCTTAGCACTTTTCAGTGTGGAAATAGCTATCCAGTTAAACTTGGAGGGAGGAGAGAGTGACCCCCAGCCACGTCCTCCAGAAGGAGGACCTCTCAGCTGTCTCTCTCACCTCTACAAGTTTAGAACTGGTATTTGATTATGGCCTTGTTCCAAACTTACAGCTTCTGCCCCCAAACCCCCGGATCAGCTCCAAGCAGGAGTTAACTAAAAAGGGCAGCTCTAATATGACAGGTTTAGAAAAGATAGTCTGTGTATAGATGCTGTCATTGATTTGCAAATACAAGTCAGTTGTTATGAAAAAGCACTGAGTATAAGCTATATTGCAAACATCCTTAAAGCTCCTAAAAGGAAGCTATTTGAAAACACCGTAGGTAATATCTGCTATAGAAGCAGAGGTTTTTTTAAAAAAAAAAGAGCCTTAACTATAAGGGGCACAGTAAACAGTATGCTGCAGGCAGTCAGGAATGACTGCAACCAAATGAAGGAAAATAAAAAATTGACTAAACAAAGCTAGACTAAAGCTCCAGATATGGCCAAACCTGTATATCAAACACCCAGATTACACCAAAGCAACAAAATATTATTAATGCCAGAACCAGCGCATTTATGTTTGGTTTCATTTTTTCTCTGACATTTCAAACAAGCACTCACTGAAAGCTTCCCCCCCCCCAAAAAATGTGGGGTTTATAACTGCATTGAACTAGAATCTGTAAAATGAAAAATATAGTCAGATGAGACTAATCTTTTCATTCTGTCATATTCAGCACCCCCTGATGTCCATGATAGAGCAGGGATATCACACTTTTAAATGTGGAATTGT